GAATATGCTCTCCTCTGACACGGCTGAACTTATGGAAATAGAAATGGCGGGGCGGTGCTGACTCAAGCTGTTTTTCTACCTCATGCGAGTCAACTGACAGATGCCAAAAACCAGGAGTAAGAGTCACCGGCTCACACTAGGGGGCGCTCTGGGCCTGCGTTTGAGCGTGATTGTGCGAGCTGCTGAAACGAGGACAGCCTGTGTTTGAGCAGCTCAAAGACTGGAATTAGGATGCGGTTCGATCGGTTCTCACCATGGCAAAGCCGACATCTGCCTTCTTGAGGGCCGGTCCATCGTTGGTTCCATCCCCAGTTACAGCAACCACCTGCCGCTGGTCCACCAGAGTGCTGTCAATAATACCTGAGAGACAAGAGATCACACATCACTGAGTCATTCTGTGAACGCTGCCTTTTTCATTTACTGCACAGAGAAGAAAACTTCTGCAAGATCTGAGACATTTTATCAGACCACAAGCTGCTTAACTGTCTTTCTCAAATTGCATTGTGCAATATGAAAGAGTTATATACCATTTAATTCCAATTGGTAATACTTAATAATTATATATGTGACCCTGGAGCACAAAACCAGTCATGAGGGTCAATTTTTCGAAATTGAGATTTATGCATCATCTGAGAGCTGAATAAATCATCTTTCCATTGATGTATGGTTTGTTAGGATAGGACAATATTTGGCTGAGATACAACTATTTGAAAATCTGGAATTCGAGGGTGCTAATATTAGTATGGTGCAGTATTATCCTATTTAAATCAATGTGATATACAAGTTGAGCCTGGAATACACTACACGATTTCTGCCCCAATTTTCCGCTGATTTACAGTCTGGAGAAGTCAAAGCCAGTCTGCAGATTAGAGTTGACTGATTCCATAGAAAATCCCCTATGATGGTCACAGACTCAAAATTTTACAGCTTCAGACTCTAAATCCATCCAGTCAGAGGAGATCAAACATGTTTGTCTGATGAATGTAAAGTCTGGTAGTGTGTGATGGCCAGTTTTCCTTTGTGACTATTTGCAAAGACTGTAAGTGTATGATGCCTAGTGTTCAGATTTTAAAAGTCATGTAGTGTATTCCAGCCTTTAGGTAAAAAGTAACCTACAAGTAATCAAAAAGTAGTCTGATTATATTACCTAACATGTGCAATGTAATGGATTACGTTACTAACTACAATTTTTGTCATGTAATTTGGAACGAGTAATGGACTCCACTTTGTAAGTAATCTACCCAGCTCTGTATGTGTGTGTGTGCAGTATTAATAATTATTATTAATATCATAAGTATTATTATTTTATACAATTATCATTTATTTGTAAATAAATAAATAAATATAAAATAATAACTGAATAAGGAAGAAATTAAGTTTAAATGTATATACTCAAGCTTGCAAATTACTTAACAGCAGAATTGTGTGTTTAGTGCACTTCATCAAATGTTGCAAATGTTGTTGCTTCTCCTTTACTAGATTTAACACTTATAACGAACAGCCATATGTTGCCAGCATTAAAAGCATTAAAGAGCAAAACATCAGGGACAATCAAGCGATAACGCCTGGAAATAACTAATTAAATACACTAGTGATGTAATTACAGCGCAACATTTACTTACAGCATGTTAATTATCCTGTAACTTCAGCCGTGACGCTCAGTCTTATGTAACACAGATCTGATTCCAGAGCACTCTGCTGCTGTGTGTAAACTGACAGGAGCTCAAATATGTCTAGCAGATTGTTCATCTAAAAATGTCGGTCCCTAGCTGTTCATCAGCTAATTTGACATGTTTTGTAATAGTTTTAGATCACAATCTCCATTAAAATGTGGTTATATATTTATAATACACTGAAAAAAAAAATGGTGGTGAAACCATTTTATAGTATTTCCTTGTAAAAGATACTCTAAACTTCAAAAAAATGTTCAGTGTATGTTAGAGTAATCATCATTTTTGTAAGATCTTCAGGCCTCTAGTTATGTCCCTTCATAACTTTCCGTATATGTGAATACGTGAATAAAGCAGTGCTTAGTCTATACGGTTCTGATTGTGACTGATACTCATGCAGGTTCCCTCACCTTTGACCAGCGTGTGTTTGTCCGTCGGTGAGGATCTGGCAAGCACTCGCAGTTTAGGCCACACTTTATCAATGCGCTCCTGCTCAACCTGCCAGAGACATGAGACAGACGTGCATCCATCATGACAAAGACGCTCATTACAGCTGCCAAAAACTGGCTATACACCCATCTGATGGAATCCATAAAACAGCCACGAGTATACAACGTGAAAAAATCAAATCCAGCTCTAAGATATCTTTCTTGTTGCAATGAGTGTAAACATTCATCAGAAAAGACGTCGCATTTACATATAAATGATTTGACTGTGTATTAAATCACACGGCGTCCATCATTCACATGTGGGGTGTTTGTTAGAACGGCCAGCTTTCAAATGTGTTCAGTAACTGTCTATATCAATGACAGCAGTGCATTGCTAGCAGAGAGTACACATGCGACTAATGCAATCACAACATCATAAAAAAGCCCCATAAATGATCAGAGTACAGACAGCTATATGAAGCAATGCTTTGGACAATCATCTCAGCTCGTTCTTTAAAGGGGTCATTATGATGCGATTTCAAGTTTTCCTTTCTCTTTGGAGTGTTACAAGCTGATTGTGCGTAGATAAGATCCCTGAAGTTGCAAAGACTAAAGTCTCAAAACCAATGAGATATTCTTTATCAAAGTTTAGACTCTGCCACACCCCCCTAAAACGGCTCGTTCTAACACGCCCCCACATATCTACCTCACTATGTGGAAATATTTGCATAATGCCGCCCAAATGTTCACGCAAAGCAAGAAGGCGTGGTTTCAGTAACCGCAGTTAGTGTTGAAGCAGCCATGTCAGGGAGACGCTGTGTGTTTCTAGGCGAAAGCAAAAGCACTTTATTTGGCCTTCCGAAAGTAGATGCATTTAGGAATCTTTAAGATTACTTACAACAGAACAGCAATGCATTTTATGGACGACCGTTTCGTGAACCTAGGAGAGGAGGTAATTCTGACTTTGCTATGACAATCTGGCGCTTCTGAATCAGCTACTGTTTTGTTATTAGTTTAAGTATTTGCTATTGACTGTTCAAATGCGGAGTTTTGCGCATCGTGTGTGTGTGTG